AATGTGTCGGATTCTTCTGTGGAAACATCCTCAGAGGTTTGTGGCAATTCATGATTATACACAGGCACTGCATGAGCCTGGAGAGGAGCATGGAGAGCAGCCTGGAGAGGAGCATGGGGAGGAGCATGGGGAGGAGCGTGGGGAGGAGCATGGGGAGGAGCCACAAGAGGAGCATGGGGAGGAGCCACAAGAGGAGCATGGGAAGTATGCAGAGGGGGATGGAGAGGAGCCTGGAGAGGAGCCTGGAGAGTCTGCAGAGCGGGGTGGAGAGGAGCATGAAGAGGAGGATGGAGAGGAGCCTGCAAAGGGGCCCAGGGAGCGTGGAGAGGAGCGTGGAGAGGAGCATGGAGAGGAGCATGGAGAGGAGCCGGCGCAGCTTGCAGACGACCTGGATGACGAACACACTGTGTACTGTTTGGAGGTGGAAGAGCAAGGCCTGGAGGCACAACAGGAGGTAGTAATGAAGTGGCAGTCATGTTGTAACGAATCTGTAGAGCTTGTTGGTATTCCTCCAGGCGCTGGCGAGCCACTTTCACTCTTTGGTGGATTCTAAAATTAAAAAACAAACAAACAAACAACAACAAAAACAGGAGAGTCAAAGGCATTAAAGTTGTGTAAACTCAGAATCACAAACTGGCCCAAACAGATTTATTCATCACACCTGTTTTGTTCTAACAACCGCTGCTGGTATTCTCTGATCCTTTTGCTATGGTCGTCCTTATCTGCAGGAGGAACTACCTGTGAAGATCAAACACAAAGGAAGGGATTACTCATACAGCCTGGAAAGCCCCTCACAGAAGACAATGGTGGAGGACAAAACCTTGAATTTTCAGAGTTTTTATATTACTAGTTGTTGACCAGTCCCTCCCAAGTGTGTGTGAATCTGTTGGATTTATTTTCTCAACTTAATTTTCCCTCTTCTTATCTGGAAAATATCCCATTTAAGCTGTATTTGATTCTCTGTCCTGGATTGTCATCGATCATCACTAATATAATCTTCTCAGGCTCTGGCTACGACGGGGTGGGCAACTCCAGGCCTCAAGGGCCGGTGTCCTGCAGGCTTTAGATGTGTTCCTGATCCAGCTGATTCAAATGGCTAATTTACCTCCTCAACATGTCTTGAAGTTCTTCAGAAGCCTGGTAATGAACTAATCATTTGATTCAGGTGTGTTGACCCAGGGTGAGATCTAAAACCTGCAGGACACCGGCCCTTGAGGCCTGGAGTTCCCCCGCCCCTGGGCTATGAGCACAGAAGCTCCACCTACACGTTAATCAAACCTTCTGTTTGTGAGAGGCAGCCAATCAGAAGAATTGCTCAAAGGAGGAGGAGCTAAAGTAGCTTGCTTCAAAGTCAGGATGTCATGAGGGAAAATATAATAATGTGAAGATTATTTTGAACTGTAAATCAGGCAAGAGCTCAATAATGAAAATTATATATAATACGTTGGTCAACTTTAAGCAAAAAACAACAAATAACAACTGAACATGTTTCTCAGACTAAAGTAATATTAGACCCAAGGAGGTTAAGCATCAGAAGATGTTAACAGCATGTATAACATCCATGATATATTTTGCATCTTAGCTATTATGAGCATGTCAAGATTAATCCAATAATTAGAATTTTCAATAGCCATTAAAAAAACCTGATAACAGGAAAATTTAATGGAGGTTTGACAGTTGGATTAGAGACCTACCTCATTGGCTAAATTAGGGGTGATAGAGATGACATCGTGGTCATGGACTGGCACTTCTGGTTGGTTAATGGTTTCTTCCTGGGTCACGGCAGCCTTCAGTCGTTCTTTCTCCTGCTGAGCTTCAAGCAGCATCTGCTCCAACTTGGCCTTCTGCTCTTCCAGCTCCTGCAGCAAAAACATCTGCTGCTGCTTCTCCCTTTCAAGCTCTGCTTCCTGGGCAGGAAAAAAAAGAGGCTTAAAAAGTGATGCTACTAGATGCAAACTCAGATTTGAGCTACGTTTTAGTTTAGAAGATACAATTTTAGCTGCATCAGGTGTGTTACTGTTAATGTAATTCAAAGCTAGTCCCTGGTAAAATCTTTATCATCTCCTCTCCAAAAATCACCAGCAGGAATTCACAACAAGCCCACAATGAGTTTCTCAGCAAAACCTGGTTCTAACCAGTCAGTGAACTGGTGATGAAGTACTGGGACAACAATGAAACAAGTGCTTAGATCTGTTCGGTCAACAATGCTCTGCTGCAGTGTCTAAATTCTGGTACAGAATAGAGAAGGGGGGCACAGAAAATCAAACAAGAGGGGGGCACAGAGCAGTAGTCTCGCATATTTTGTACACCGCCTCCATCTGACTACAGAGCTCCCTGCAGGCATGCTCGGATTTTAGCGGACAGTGAACGTGCCATCTCTGCAGGACTAGAAAACCAGCTCCCAACCATCACGGGACACACAGCACAGACATTTAAGTTTTTTACTCTCAATATTAACTCCTCCCATCTAAGTGAAAAGTCTCACAGAAATTAAAATGAACATGTACCCGTTTCTTTCGCTCTTCTTCAAACTCTTGGATTCTATTGGCCAGAGCAGCAGGAAACTGAGTATCTGAAGCTGATGATGGCAGCGGCGTTTTCTCTGATGCTGGTTGAGTTCAGAAAAAAATCCACAGTTTTATTACCTTGTAATAAACATTTTTACTTTTTTTAAACTGTTAAAAGAATATTAATAGTTTTATTAATATTTATGTAGATTGTTCTTACAGCTGATCAGTCACTGATTACCTGGTGGAGACCGGTCAGCCTCCTGGGGCTCGGTGGGAGTCCATTCGTCTTTTCCTCCGCTGATCAGAGAGCCTGTTTCGATCGTCATGTCGCGCTCTGGGATCTGATCTCGGATGACAGTTGGGGAATCAGCAGCAGAGCTGCGACTGCTGTGGTCAATCCACTGGTTCCTTTGGCTCCTGATACGATCCAGGAGCCTCTTCAATGCCCGTCGAGGAGCAGGTTTCTGGGAAACCACTGCAAACAAAGAAAAACTCAAGGAAATTACATCAAGGTTTCAACATTCATGCTACATTCTGGGCCAGAAGGTTTTTTTATTTGTCTCAGAATTTGACATAATTCATACAATACACTTCAGTAAGCTAATATCTGACTACTGATTGTATTATAAACTGCACAAGAATGACTTGAGTTTTTAAATCTGGTGCTTCTGGTCACCTTCAGCTGATGTTTCCTGCTCAGTGCTTCCAGGTTCCTGCTCTGTGTCATGTTGTGCATTTTCTGTTTCAGGTGTTGTGATTTCATCCACTGTGACATCCAGCTCTTGATCTTGGCTGGTTGTGGAGTGGGCTGGAAGAGGCTCAGGTGCCAGCTGGACCACCAGGTCACCTTTAACCCCTGTAACAATTAACAAAGTTTAAAGAGGCTTCAGAGCAACTTCAGTGCTGATTTCTGGCCAACTTTGTTTCTCTGGTTTTAAGAACATGTATGAATACTGAAAACCCGTATTTGCTACAAAATACACGATGAAGAGTCCTTACTCCTCTCTCCAGTGTACATGTCCTCAAAGGCGAACTCCATCTCCCTCTGGAAGTCTTCCCTCATTTCCTGTCTCTTAAAGAGAGGCTGGAAGATCTGAGGAGGCATCTGCGACACCTGCTGCCTCCTCCTGAGCAGATCTGTCTGCTGCATGTGTTCCAGTTCAACCAACAAACGCTCACGATCCTAAAGGAGGCCATTAGACACTGATCAGGCACTTCATATGACCAAAAAGTAAACAGTTCTCATCTCTTCTTACAGCTAAAGTATCAAGTTAATTTTCTGAGGCAAGCCTATCAAACATGTTAAAGTAATACATTTTTTAAACATGTAATGAAAGTGCAACCTCCGCAAGAATTTCTTTATTCTGGCATGTAAGTGACTAGGTTAATTAGTCGCCAGGTTAACAGGCAAGTTGTACCTGCATGAGCTGTTCCTTCCTCAGAGCCTGCCTCCCTCTGAGACGAGCCTTCTCCAGCTGCTCTTCTCTCCTCCTCATTTCCTCTGTCTCCAAGTCCTGCTGTCTTTTCGCATGTAGCTCAGCTTCCTCGTGGGCATTTGGCTGATTAGGCAGATCGATTAGATAACTCTGATAAATCGCGCTGGTAAATACAAACAAAAATCAGAGGGTGTGTTACCTGGTTTATGTCCACCTCTCTGTCCACTGTACTCTTGGCCATGTGGTAATGTGTGGTAGCGAAGGCACTCACATCCGATCTCCTTACGAAACGTGGCTTTTTGGGACTGATGTTCTGCTTCAGCGAGAGAAGACAAGGTTACCTTGACTTTCATTTGATTTTCAGGATTTGGAAACGTTCAGGAAATTATTATCACTGTTTGGGAAGATCACCTGAACAGGGTTTGGGAGAGGCAGTGGAAGGCTAGCCACCTTTGCTGATCTTTCCTTTTCTGCCAGTAATGCCTTCTTCCTGGCATTGACAACTCTACAGAACAGTGAAGCCACAGGTTTAATGATCAGTTCATTCTGATTCAATTTAAACACATAAACATCTGAAGATTCTTGTGATGACGCTCACTGGTTTTGCCTCTCATGGTCTTTAAGCCTCTGTGATTTGAGCTCCTTCAGCGCTTCTCGGTAACGCTCCTCTGCTTTGACGTGGTTCTCCTCCTCCCTCTGAGCTATGGCTGCCAAGTCGGGTTCCTTGAACAACAAGTTTAGCCACAAAAAAATAAATATCATATGGACACGGGTTAACGAGAATCAAATATCAACATGGTGCAGTGTATTCTGCCTTTTCTAAACAATTCAAATACTACTAAAGTGCCCCAGTGCAAAAGACTGAAGCACACTAGACTACCATTACTCTGCTTCTTCCTTAAGCAGATTGAACATTAATATTTTGTGAAAAAACCCAACCTAAGTTGGAGCTCTAGCTCTGGGACATAATTTATTTGACAAAAGTCATTCAAAGTTTAAACTTTTAGTAACGTAATCAGTCTTTCAATAGCTTCTATGTTTTTTTCCCAAAGTTTAAATTTAACTTTTATTAAAAGTTGACATTTCTCCTTCATTCTGCAGACACGATAGGATGACATCACTAACTGCTGATTTCCGTTCTAGTCTTTTAAAAGAAATTGTTTCATGCACAGGTCTTATCCTTTCAGCGTACAAATGATAAAACATATCAAACTTTTTGTCCACTTTCAACTGAGCAGACACATTGTAAAATTTGAGTTGAGAATTGGAAATGTAGGATTTCCATATAATAAAGACTAAGGTTGTGAAAAATTAGTATGTGGTCAAGCAGCTGGTGCAATGATACACTCAAAATATCTTAGTTGGATGCACAACAACTAGAACGTAGCAAAGAGTATTCGGTGGAGGTTTTTTCCCCAAATGATGACAACATATTTTTCTTTGGATTTTGGACTGTCACTGTTACTTTGATCTGTGGATTTCAGTATTCATGACAACTTAAAAAATATTTTTATAAATTAAATAATTAAAATAATAGCAAATAGATATAATTATTTGTGTATATTTATATGAAGCTTGCTTTACATGATTTATCTAACTGTCTTAAACAGATGAATGGCCTACTGGTGGTGGTCAGAGGGCCTGGTGGCGCCTGTGTCCGGCAGCCTCGCCTCTGTCAGTGCGCCCCAGGGCAGCTGTGGCTACAATGTAGCTGCCATCACCAGTGTGTGAATGTGAGTGTGAATGGGTGGATGACTGAATGTAGTGTAAAGCGCTTTGGGGTCCTTATGGACTAGAAAAGCGCTATACAAATGCAGGCCATTTACCATTTACCATGAATCTTCTCAGGAAGTTTAAGACATTTTCTAACTAATTTCAGACATTTTAATGACCCACAGAAACCCTGTGGACACTGCACTGATGAGTTTATGTTTACGTCAATGTGGCTCAAAATTTGGTTTCATACATTCTTTTTATTCTTTCATAATCCCGTTTTAGTGTCTCTAATTTGAATTATTTTAGCCTTACGTTTTCTTTTGCACTCCTGTGCCCCTGGCCCAGCAGCTGGAGACTCTCCTGGTACACCCTCTGCAGCCTCTGGAGCTTTTCCCTCTGCTGTTGCTCCCACTCCTTCCTCAGCTCCCGCTCAAGTTGTTGCAGCTCATACTGTCGCCTCTGCTCAACATCTTGGCGGATCTGCTGTGCAATGTACCGGTGCTGCTCCCGCACCTGTGTGTCAACACAAAACACACACTCAGTGTGCATATATCACGCAGAACTATGCACATGGCATAGAGACAGTAGGTTACAGTGATGAGCAACTTAATTATCTTCATCACGTCATCTGTCAACAGAAAAAAATGGATGCAATACAAAAGATAAATCTTGGCCAGTAATACCAGCAAATCTAATCTTATTTGAAAAAATAAAAATGTGTCAGCAAAATGACCGGAGACTTCACAGCAGAATACTTTGTGAACTTTAGGTCCTTCACTGGTTAGTTACATACGAGACTTTACAGCTTCATCATGCTAAAAGAAATACTGCGTGAATACCCTGAAACTGTCTGCATTTGTTTATTCATGTGTCAAAGCGACTTTCGGAGACTGAACAGACCGATCAGACTTCAAATAAAAATCACTGTACGCACACAAAAAGACAGATCTTTTACACGTGCAAGTAAAATTTAATGTAGGCGAGGAACCTGAAGTTATGAACTCATATGGGCCTTAATATAGTGTTTATCAGACAGAAACAGGGGTTCAAGTAAGCACTGGCGCTTCATCAGAAAACATCCCACAGGTGCTGGAAATCAGGGACCTAAAGTGAAGCAGAAAGCCATAACTCCGCCTTATTACCTGCTGTATCCGCAGTTTTCTCCTCCTTTCCTGCTCCTCTCGTATTATCCGAGCCTCTTCGTTGGGACTCGGTCTTAATCTGGACACTTTTCTCTTCATTTTCGAGCACTTCACTGGCGGACATTTCAACCAAAAAAGCAAACAGCAGGTTGCGGTTCAGCTAGCGGCGACGGCTAATGTTTGCACGCTTCACTTTGTTCGCCGGCATAACGGTTCCGTAGGACAACTTAAACTTGAAACAAGTGTTTACTATACAAGCAATTACCAGGCAGGACGCTTAAAGTTTTGTTTATCATCCGAAATCCATGCCAACCCAAAAAACGGACGTTTTTGAGGGTTTTTTTTGTCCTGAACGTCACATCCGGTAGTTTAAACTGCCCGCCGTATCTTTGCCGTCCACATGAAATATTAGTTCCTAGTCATTATATCTGCATAAAAAAAACATTTTATGCATTTAAACATAAAATACATAAAAATACATCAATAATATATATATATACACAAACATTAAATACGTAAATAGTGCTAAAGTGACACAAAGCGTTTGAAACAGCTTCCAGCCTGAGTTCATCACAATCGGTGGGAGGGGGACCGTGCAGGAGTTACACTCGTTCCTGTATTGATGAGCCTTTCACCGCTACTGGAACATTTAATGCAATACCCGAGAGTATTCCTCTATACCTCCAACACTAGTGAACGCCAGAGGTAAGATTTACAGGAGTAAAAGAGTATTTGGGGTTTTAAGCTGTTCTCTTGAGCTTTCGAGTCTCCTTTTATGCTGTGAGCTAAGCAAAGAGCTAACGCTAGCTAGTGTTGCTAACTAGTAAAATGTTACAAAGTGCCTAAAAGAGCTGAATTATTATCATCCAAAGTTGTTGAGGAGCATTTTCTAATTTTCGTTCTTCACTTTAACATTTGGAAATGAAGTATTTTAATGTTCTGGTTATTAAACAACCTATATTAAATGTTTGATTCAGAGGTTTTCTGGTCTCCCCTGTGCCTGTGTTTGATGACTACCCCTTTCTGCCTGTCCACTCTACTTCTCAGCCAAGTCTGTCATCATGTCTGGTGGTCCAGCGGTGAGGATCAGCATCGAGTCTTCCTGTGAGAAGCAGGTGCAGGAAGTGGCCCTGGATGGGACAGAGACCTACGTCCCTCCTCTATCCATGTCCCAGAACTTGGCAAAGTTGGCACAAAGAATTGACTTCAGCCAGGGATCCGACTCAGAGGAGGATGTTGAGGGAGAACCCAAGGACCGAGAATGGGGCAAGCAGGATGGAGAGGAGGAAGAAGGTAAAATGCTTAAATAAAGCAAGGAGCTAGAGCTACACGAGCCATCACACATTCCTTGGTATAATCCGCTGCTGTGTGCCTTATGCCAACATAAAATATCAAGCTGAACTTCATTCATCATAGGTTAAACATTTCAGTTCAGAACTTCACTTAGATGGTGAATAATTACCAATAAATATATAATTTCAGTCTTCATGCCAAATATCCTTGGACAAGATACTAGAAGTTGATCGGAGTATGAAAGCATGTGAATGTTACATATAAAGAGCATAGAAAAAAAGTGCTTGTGGGAATGGGTGAATGAGGTGCTTTGAGGGCTCAGAGTAGAAAAGTGCTGTATAAGAAACAATGTATTTACCATTTAAGTCACAATGGAGCCTCTGTCATGTTTTGAGGCTGCATTTCAGCCCGAGGTGTTGGAGGCCTTGTGAAAACTGATGGAGTTATGAATTATGTCAATCCTAAGAGTACATCCGCTGCTCCAATAAATAAATAAAATGGATTTCAGGAGGTATGAGATCCAGCTAAATAAAGTTAAACTTTATTTACAATTTACTCCTGACTCTGATGAAGAAAGGAGGACCACCAAGTAGACTGCACAAATGAATTGAAAACAGAACATGAGGTTTTTTATCACTTGTTGGAATCGAGGCCAATTTTCTGTTTTCTTGCATAGGCACAGTAAAATTTCAGCCGTCTCTTTGGCCCTGGGATTCGGTGCGTAACAACCTCCGCAGCGCCCTCACAGAGATGTGTGTACTCTATGATGTGCTCAGTGTGGTGAAGGAGAAGAAGTACATGGCTTTAGACCCCGTGTCTCAGGATCCAGCAGCTGGAAAGGTAAATTAAACAATGTCACTTACTTATTTTTTAAGGGTTCTACAAAAAATCTCTAAATGTGAGAAAAGCACTCTTAGGTTTGTCCACAAAGAGATCTTTTGCTCCTTCTCCAACTCCTGCAGACACCACAGGTTTTCCAGCTGATCAGTAAAAAGAAATCATTGGCCACAGCAGCTATGATCCTTCAAAAGGGAGCAGAGAAGCTCAGTAAGTCAGTCGCAGAGAACCAGGAGAACAGGAGGCAAAGGGATTTCAACTCTGAGCTGCTGCGGCTGCGCTCACAGTGGAAACTACGCAAAGTTGGAGACAAGATCCTGGGAGACCTCAGCTACCGCAGTGCAGGTGATGAGAGGGGAAAACACCTCACTCAGTCAGTGCTGCTGCATCCTACAGATTAACATTAGGACACTTTAAACCTGTTTTCTAACTCCTGTGTTTGCCCGTGCAGGCTCCCTTTTCCCCCATCATGGCACATTTGAAGTGATCAAAAATACTGACATTGATCTGGACAAAAAAATCCCAGAGGATTACTGCCCACTGGACGTCCAGATCCCCAGTGACCTGGAGGGGTCTGCTTACATCAAGGTCAGAGGGAAATGACATGTATAATATGTTTTTATTCATCTTTTCTCATTCCTTGTTCATTCTTTGATTTTAGATAATTACCAGATATATTAGGTGTAATAGAGAGATGCTGTTTGTGTCTTCAGGTGTCCATTCAGAAACAAGCTCCTGACATTGGTGATCTGGGAACCGTCAGCCTTTTCAGACAACAGCAAAAGAACAAAGCTGGTATGGTTCAGCACATATACACATCAAAAGTTGTTCATAACACAGAGGCTCTTTTCTTCCACGTTTTTTTTTTTCTAGAAGGGCATTTTATGAAAATACTAAATTCTTACATTCTGTGTGAGAAAGTGCTCTTTAGGCTTTGGCAAAGGATGACTGAGCCCACTCTAAATTGTAAGAGTAAATCCCACAAACGAAACTCTTGGTCTTTTCTTTTGTCTCTGCTCAGGTACGCAGCAATGGCACGTGAAACTGGAGGCGGCTCAGAATGTTTTGCTCTGTAAGGAGATCTTCGCCCAGCTGTCGAGGGAGGCAGTTCAGATCAAATCCCAGATCCCTCACATTGTTGTGAAAAACCAGATCATCTCACAGCCATTCCCAGGTGAGAATATGACACAAATGGGGTCCTGGTTCAGTGTTTCTCACACTTATGTATGTGCTTATGTGTGCCATACGGAAGCATATACCTTGCCTTGAGAGAATAACTGACCCAGTGCTTGAGCACAAGGACCAGTTCTCCACCTGCTGCAGGTTAGGGGGACCCTCCAGCTCACAGCAGATCTTCAGAGCAGAACTAGGACTTCAGTCCAAAAATGGTGGAAATGTAGTTTGTCTCACCGTGGGTTGAGACTGCCACAACAGAGTAAACTTTCAAAATAAGAGCACGGGAGGTTGTCCACTTGTCAAGTGATTGTGGATGGCATTAAAGAGATGAAAACATTTTTAAAAAATGCTACAATATCGATGCATTAGTCTATGTCTACAAAATCCATGACAGTACAGTGGTTTTGTTCGATATTATCATGGGAATATCTTGTTGTAATTTAATAGAACTTAGAACCAAAATGTAGACTCACAGCCGTAGTACAAAAAAATACCTGTGTGGTATTTTGCTCTAAAACTTATACATTGTATATAGAATGTATATTTATATACAGAAATATACATTCTGGGGATTCGTTGAGACTCGAGTTAACATGTCTTAATGTGAACTAATATGGGACCTATAGGTATTAACAAATGGTGAAAGATCCAAATAAGAACAGGTGGGGATGGAGGAAGACAGACAATCTGATAAAGAAAGACAAGAAGAGATGATTGATTTTATATATATGTATATATATATATATATACACACACACACACGTGGGAACAGTGAGGGGAAAGGAAAACAGCCCATTGTTCCTTCAGTGGGCTGGTTTCAGTCATTATGCAAATGTACTGTTTATAAGATTGAAACCTGCAGTCAGCTGAGACTGAAGACGTCACCTGGATGAGTGACAAAACGTTTCTCCCACAAAACGCTACGTCCAGATGAACACAATCAACTTTTGGAGAAAACAAAAGACCAAAAAATAGGAGGTGAAACCAAAATAAGACACGAGAAAACAACCTTTGAAGTAAAACAGGAAGTGACCAAAAGACAAAGCAGAGAGGCATAAATACGAACATGAAGCGCTCTGACAGCTAGAATAACATTTAACATAATGACTGACTAATGTGGCCTTTTTTTTCTTTCTTTCTTTTTTAGTGCTCTTTTACTGGAGGTTAAGTAACAGGTGCTATCTGCTGCATTCCTCTTTAGTATCTATAAAACAAACACCATATTAATGTTCTGAGTAATATTCTTAATGTTACGTACGAGCAGCCGTCATCAAGTCGAGGTATTCAGCTTTCACATTTGTCAAGAGTGTAAAGAATGTTCTTTCACTTTTAGTGAACACTCAAATCAAATCACTTTTATTGTCACGTACTGCAGTATCTGGTCCAGGTTCGGGACCGGATACTGCAGAACCTTGTTCAGTACTTTACTGTTCAAATTGTAAAGTAGTTTGAACAGTTTATGGCTGGGGTGACTGGAGTCTTTGATGATCCTCCTGCCCTAATTCATCCAAAGTGTCATTCTCCCCTCCAAACACACCTGTGATTTTTCTCTCTAGGTCTGCAGCTGTCAATCTCACTGTGCCACTCTACGGGAGAGAAGAAAAACAACCGGGCATCTCCAGAGAAACCCAAACCGGACGACCACCTTTACGTACTAGAACACAATCTGCATCAGATGATGAGAGAGGTGAGAAGTGAGATTCCTGTAGAGCGCAATCTATTAACCACCTCTGGAGGAAACCAGATATGATCTGAAAAGCGTTAAATATTTTTAAGCTTTGCCTTTTTTTCTCTTTTTCCTTTAACTTTTAAATAAATAAATAATAAATACATTTTTATTTATATAGGACCTTTCAAGACAGAATCACAAAGTGCTGCACATAAGATTACAAGTCATAAAAAGATTTAAAAAGAGAAAATAAAACAGGCAAAAAATTAACCAAAAGCAGTTTTAAAAAGGTGAGTTTTGAGTTGTTTTTTAAAAACAGCGACTGAGTCCACAGTTCTTAATGTTTGAGGGAGAGAGTCCACAGTCTCGGGGCCACAGTGGCAAAAGCTCTGTCACCCTCAGTCCTCCTTTTAGTATTTTTTATAGCAAGTAAGCCCTGATCAGATGACCTCAAAGACCTGCTGGGGACATCGGGCTGTAGCAGATCAAAGATGTAGGCTGGTGCCAGTCCGTGCACAGCTCTGTAGGTCAAGACCAGGATCTTAAAATCAACTCTAAATTTAACAGGAAGCCAGTGTAACTGAGATAATAACGGTGTCACATGTGAGTACTTGGAGGATTTTGTCAAAAGCCTCGCTGCAGCGTTTTGCACAACCTGCAGACGAACTATATATCCTCAAAAAATCCATCTCAGTTAGGGAATACTGGTCAGGTCTCAGTGTGCTTAGAATTAGAGAAAGAGAATTAAAGAGAAAACTGCAATAGTCCCCTGCAGTTTTACTTGGTGATAGTGGGGAGGAAGAACTCCCTTTTAACAGGAAGAGAGCACCGGCTGAATTGCACTCAGGAAGAGACAGTCGTTTCTGAGCAGAGGGTGCTTACAAGAAAATTACAGCTACAAAGTGAAGGAATCTATGAGGTTTTTTTTTTTTTTAATTTTAAGTTTTTATTTTTGTTTTTTTTTTTAGATATTAAGATATATTTGTGTTCTTCTGCCTACAACAACCCTGGAAACCTGTCGTCTTCTACTCTGCCAGGAGACACTTCTATTGTTATTCATTTAAATTTCATTGTCTCAGTGCACATTTCATTGGCAACATTTGTTTCTTTTATAGTTTCACAAGCAGCAGCTGAGCTCTGTGGTGATACCGCACCCTTCTAGCGCTCCCTTTGGGCACAAACGTCTGCGTTTGGCAGGGCCACTGGCCTATGACAAGGCAGAAATCTCCAGTTGGCAGCAGACTGAGGGGCTGCTGGAGAAGATGATCAAACAGGCCAAACACATCTTCCTACGTCGCAGGTAAAATATCCTGATATAATTTTACAAATACAGAAACA